CCTGCGTACACTGCGAGACCTTCTGTGCTGTCAGCCGTGATTTTGTCTCTGACAGCAAAGGAAGACCACGGGATTACGCTAGGAACGACGTTAGTATTTTCTAAGATGCAAACAGTCATACACCATGTGGCATTTGACATGGGTTCACAGTGAATTTCCTCAGCGCGGGTGCCTCTCCCCCCACACACAACTCCCACTCTGGACAGGTGGGCCTGTACAGCCTGAAGGACCGGCGGGGTCCCAAGCACCGGGACGCCCCTCAGGCTGAGTCGGAGTCTCCCCACAGGCAGTGCGGGAACGCCGGGAGGGGCTGGCTCAGACGGACAGCCCATTTCTCCCTCAAGACACGGCCTGACCCACACCCACCGCTCCCGGTCGCCTGTAACAACCAAGCTATCCCTGCCCCGTCTCGCCGGGCCGTGTGGCGGAGCCGCCCGCCGGGGCTGCGGGGCTGACGGGGGGTGAGGCCGGCCCGCCGCCATCTTGCCCGCGCCNNCGCGCGTCCCGCCGCGCTGACGTCATCGCACCCCGCCGCCACCGCCCGCCCGCAGCCGTGCCGGCCCCGCCTGCCCGCCCGGCCTGCGCATGCGCGGCTGCCGCCGGTGAGGCGGTGTCCTTACCTGGTCCCACCCGCCCCGCCTGATGCATGGCCGGCCCGCGCCGCTGAGGCGGTGCCCTCACCTGGCTGCACACCTGGCTCCACACCTTCCACCCGCCCCGCCTGATGCATGGCCGGCCCGCGCTGCTGAGGCGCTGTCCTCACCTTGCCCGCGCCTCGCCCTACCCTGAGGGTTCCCTGAGTCGGTTCCCGCGGCCCCTTGGGCAGGGTCAAGCTCGGGGCTGCCCTTAGCCCCTGAGGAAACGCTGGGTCACAGAATCGATCCGCTTGGGAAAGGCCTCTGAGACCATCGAGTCCCACCTATGACCGAACACCACCATGGCACCTAGACCAAGTGCCATGGCTAGTCTTTCCTTAAACACCGCCAGGGACAGTGACTCCATCACCTCCCTGAGCAGCCTGTTCCAAAGTCTTATCACTATTTCTGTGAAGAAATTCCTGCAGATGCCCAACCTAAATCTCCACTGGTACAGTTTGAGGCCATTCCCTCTCATCCTGTCACCATTGCCTGGGAGGAGAGACCAACCCTTATCTGCAGTTGGTAAGTTGTGGAGAGCCAGAGTTCCCCCACACCTCCTTTCCTCCAGGAGCCCCTACAGCTCCCTTGGCTGCTCGGGGTGCTCCAGACGCTTCCCCAGCTCTGTTCCCTCCTCTGGAATTCCTCAAGCCCCTCCGTGTCTTCCTTGTAGTGAGGGGCTAACCTCTGACCGCAGGGTGTGAAGTGTGGCCTCAGCAGTGCCCAGCACGGGTCACTGCCCTGCTGCTGCTGCCACAGCACTGCTGCTACAGCCTGTTGCCCACCAGCAACCTTGTGGCACACCTGGGCTCATGTTCAGCTGCCATCAGCCTGATATGGCTTCCTGTGCCAGTGTGATCAATGAGGTCATGGCAGTCAGCCCCTCAGCATCCAGCCCCTCCCCACTGCTGGGAGTGGGGGGAAAAGGGAACAGTAAATAACTGTGTGCAATACATGGGGTACAGGTATAACACAGGCACTTAATCCTGGGGTGTAACACTGAGGTGTGATTTGGGCTACTGCGTCCAGCTTGCCCTCCTGGGGACATGTGGGGCTTGTGAAGAGGCCAGCCTTCCTTATGGGGTCTGAGACCTGGGAAATGTGATTTGTGAGGAAACACAGGACAAGTGGAATCTATTAAAACGAAAGGAGATGTGGTAGGAGTGTTCAAGCATGTAAAAGCATGATGTGAAGAGAATAATTCGTTTCCCTTGGTGTGACAGGAATAGCAAGAAGAAAGAGGCCTAAATGATAACCTGGACAGCTCAGGCTGTCATCTCAAAAACATTAAAAGTCCTGAAAGGATGGCAATAGATGGCTTAGGAGATCATACATGCTTCAGCTGGATCTGCAGCAGCAACAAAATCTCTCAGAAGCTACATCACTCGCCCGTGGTTCAGAGCAGAGAGCTGAGCCATGAAGGTCCCATTCCAATTCCTCACAGTGCCATCCTTTGATAATGCATTTATTATTTATAAGCTGCCTGCTCAGTGTGTGGCTGAGCTGAGTGCCCTGATACTGTGTTGCATCAAATCATGCTGTTCTGGTTTGATGCCAAATCAGATATAGCATCAGAAGAATCTCCTTTTATAACCTATTTCCTCAGATATTAATAACTGCACTAAATGCAAAGAACTAGAAAAACAGGTCAGTAATGTCTGCAGAGTATAAAATACTTTCTGCAAAGTCTTATGAAACAATTAGAACATTCAAGAAGTCATATGTGGGTACTACTAAAGCAAACTACTGTCACTTTGAAATCCAAACACAGGGTATTTAAATGTGATGATCTTTATAAATAAATTGCTGCTCAGTTTTTTTCCTTACTTAAATCTAAAATCAACAACTTTTATACAGGAAAAAGGGAGGATTATCTTTGCATGCAGGTCTTAGATAAACCGTCTCATGCAGCTTAAAATGTTGACATGTGATAATAAAATAAGGGGAATATGTCAAAATGGAAGCCTATCTAAATAAAGCTACTGTCAATCAATTTGTTCTGACAGTGTATAAATGACATACATTAGAATAAAATGAATCAAGCCTTATTGAAGTCGAGCAGTGATTTATAAAACTGAAATGTAGAAATGTCAAAAACTTACAGTGAACACCAGATGGATAACTTGACTTGTTAGAAATAACTGTTCAGGAGCTGGGGCTTGTGCTGCTGGACAACTGCTCTCATGCTGACAGTCCAACAGACCCAATTATACTTGCAGATCTCACAGAGAAGAAATTGTGTTGAACATGACATTCTAACATTCTTTTTTTTTTTTTTGTTACCAACAGAATGGCTCCAAATAGATTTGTGACACACTGCATGTGATTTGGCTTAAGGGAAGGGCAGATTTTCCAGAAAAGTCAGGAAGTTCACCACATAAAAAAGTTTTTATATAGCATGACTTGTATTCTGATTTTAAAATAGCTTCACTGATTCTCCCTTTTAACTTACAATAGTGATGTGTTTGCTATGCAAGTGGTTAAAATAATGGAGGGAACAGAAAAACCTCTCTTTTCCCCGCCTGCATTCATACCAGAATGGTCTTGAATTTTATTATACAACTGGTTTAACTGTGTGCTGGGAAGGGTCTGGATTGTATTTTGAGGTGGAGAAGAATACGATTTCCTCTGCTTTCCCCCTTGCTGAGATCCAGATTTTTTCCTAATGTATAGGATATAATGAATTTCATAATAATAAATATGGTCTTGCAGTTTGGGTAGGCACTGAAATGTCCAGTCTGATACACTTGTCAACCCTTGAGATACGCAGTGAAGATGTTTTTTGTGGTGTTAGTAAAGCATCAGACAAAGAAAACAAAGCATCCTGAGTGCTATTTCAGAAACTAATCAAATTGCATTTCTGTCTTGATTGCTCAGAGGATTTGCTTTGTCTACACATGCCACAAGTAGTAGGACTTAATTCACATTTTGTATATGTGATTTATTAAATACTGATGGGAAATTTGACATTTAAACCAATAAAAGATATTAGACTTAACTCACTATTAGATTTTTTAATGGAAAGACATTTCTTATACAGCCAGGAAATTGCAATAACACATTTACTGATTTATTGCAATATTTTACTCTTGGATCTTCAAAATGAACTGTCGTAGCTCTTCACAGTTAATAGAATTGGAGGTGAACTGGGATCAGTCCATTGCTGTCGCCATGGAAGGGACTGGACAGTGCAGCAATTTCCATTACCTTGGGGCTCTGTCTAAACAATGGTGTTCGTGGAAACACAGGTAGGTTAATCTCACTTCTTTCTGGCTAAAGGAGGAATTTTGAAAATACCCTTGTATTGAAAGGAGAAATAACAAATCTAACAATGGTCCTACATAAATCTCAACCAAGTAACAATGATTAATTTGACCACAATGGGGTCGGGATCAGAGCAATCCCAATTTCATGTGACAGCTGTTAGGAATTATATTCTTGGGGAGGCCCCTGCTCATTTACTCGATGTATTTTCAGTTTGTCTGAGTGGTCAATGAGGCTAAATTTATATTACAGCTTTCTATTATCTGTGTTGAACAGTTATTAAAACTTGTATTGATCCAGTTATTAATTCTTACAAAGCCTCGCTTCCCTTTCTCTTTGCCTCAGAAGCATTACTTGTGAGTTGCGCCCTTAAGCAAGACTAATGCTTGTTCCTTTTTGGTATAAAGCTTTTGCACACCTTGTTTCCTGATCATCTTCCCCTTGCAGGGTTTGTTGATGCCTGCCTGAAATTCTGATAATCACAGAATATGCCGAGATGGAGGGGACCCATCAGGATCATCCAGCCCAACTGTGTGTCCTGTGCAGGGCATTTCAGAGTCACTCCTACCACGTCTAAACGCTCCTCGAACTCAGACTGTGGTAAGTCACTTCAGTCTGACAGGCCTCACCAATGTTTAACAGTTGGATAATTCTCAATATATCCTGACGGTATTTGGTGCCTTTCGGTGGTAGACCAGAAAAGCCTGGGCGAGAGAGGCCCGCTCCCGAATCGCCCGCACGGCGCGCAAATGACACCGCCGGCCGATTGCGGCCGCGGGCCCGACCCTCCGCCGCGGGCCCGACCCTCCGCCGCGCCCCCCG